AAACCAGGAAAACATTGCTAAGGTTTTGAAATAATTAGGCATTTACTTTATAGTCCTGATTTGGTTCCTTCTGACTCTTTATGCTTCCTGATCTTAAGTCTTTAAAGGGCACTCATTTTTCTTATTAAATAATGTAACAAAGACTGCATTGGCATGCTTAAGTTCCCAGGACTTTCAGTGCTTTAAGGATGAACTACATAAATGGCTGGTATCATCACTTACAAATGGTCTTGACCTTGATGGCGCTTATGTTGAGAAATAAAATTTGTATTTTTAAAATCTCTTAATGCCATTTTCCACGAACTTTTTGAAGTCCCATATACATATCATAAAGCTTGCCATTTTAACTGTTTTTAAGTATGCAATTAAATGACATTAACTATATTCACCATATTGTAGAAGTACTATTATTTCAAAAGATTTTTCATAATCCCTAACAGAAACTTCTTGCCCCCTCGAGCATTAACTCATTTCCCCTCTCCACAACCTAGTAATAATTAGTAAACAGTTTCTGTGCATTTGCCTACTACAGATATTTCATGTAAGTGGGAACAAGCAATATATGTCCGTTTATATTTGACTTACTTCACTCAGTATGTTTTCCAAGTTCATCCACGTAATAGTATACAGCAAAATTTTCTCTAAGGCGGTGTAACACTTCATTGGATGCATACACCACATTTAATTAATTGTTTTGTTGATGATACTTGGTGGCTTCCACCCGTTGGCTATTGGGAACAATGCTGCCAATGAACAAGTGTCTGAGTCCCTGCCTTCAAGTAATTTGGGCATACACTTAGGAATGGAATTGCTGCATCTTTGACTCTTCCCAATGTTTGTATCTTTGTCTTTTTGCAATGGATAGGACCTCCAGCAAAATGTTGAAGTACTAGTTCCTATCCTAGGATTTAAGGTCTCAGTTTTCATCATTAATTATAGTGCCTATTGTGGGGATTTTTAATATCTTCTTTTTCAAATTGAAGAATTTACCTTCTATTCCTAGTTTGCTAAAAGATCCCCACCCTCTTAATCATGAATAGGTAATGAATTTTATTTTTCTGTATCTACTGAGATATCATATGGTGTTCCTTTTTATACTGTAAATATTAGATTTCTCTATGTTCAAGCAATACCATATTATTGGAATAAGCTAATTTGGTTATATTACATTAAAATTTTTACTTGATTTGCTAAGGATTTGTGCACTCATGTTCATGAGGGATAGTTGTAATAATTTTACACATGAGGTGGCAAAGTGGGTAAATGTAAGCATTGCGCTGCTAACCACAAGTTTGGTGATTCAAACTGACTAGCTGCTCTGAGGGAGAAAGAAGAGGCTTTCTGTTCTGGTAAAGATTTACGGCATCAAGAAAACACAGGGCAGTTCTACTTTGCCCTATAGTGTTGCTAGGAGTTGGAATCAACTTGATGGTGGCAAATATGGTTTGAATGGTAAATAGCATCATTTTTGTTAATCAGTTTAAAGACTTTAAAGTCTTTTCTGATAAAGCACCTATGCTATTGATGCTACAAGAAGTTCAATAAGTGGTTTTAGATTAAAAAAATAAACTTTCTGCTCTTAGGAAGCTAAATACAACAAGTTGAAATGACTAATTGTTTCAGAAAGGCCACTTCACCTTATCTCGATTACATTCGAGTGTAGTCACCATGAGTTAGAGTAGTTTAGTCAGTCTTTGTGAAAACCTACCAAGTTGTGCTCTAAGTATTATTTTTAAAACAAATTTTATTTTTATACTTACTCATGGTTCTGTAAAACAAACTCCTTAGAATTAGAATGTTTTCAATTAGTGAGGAAAGACACAATACTTCAAGTTAAAAATAAGAGAGTTGGTATTTACCATGACTGTAAAGACACAGTGATTAGTAGTCAATAAGTATTACTCAAAAAATAGAAAAGCTTAGTGAACAAAAAATTCTTACTTTCACTAACTTTATATTGGTTATAACATAAACTTTTCATATCACTTGATCTAATAGGAAAAACTTACTAGGAAAAGTATCATTTATTCAGAATGATTAGTGGGACGTACAGTTCTGGTTCCAGAGAGAGAGAGAATTCACGAGGGGCTTTCCAAGTTTGTGGAAAAATGGAAATAAAACATAATTCAATAACCTTTTGAAGTATTTCCATAACTTTTTGAAGCTTCCTTGTATATACTTAAGTATATTTAATGCCCACCACTTCTCTGTCACTTTATGCCGTGGTGGCTTGTGTGCTGCTGTAATGCTGGAAAGTATGCCTCTGGCGTTTCAAATGCCAGCAGTGAACAGGTGAACAAATGAACAAATTGTTCACAGTGAACAAATACACAGTGAACAGGTTTCAGCAAAGGTTCCAGGTTAAGAACAGACAAAGATAAAAAAAGTCAAAAGAAAAAGATGCATTGTACTAGGTAAATCTGCTGCACAAGACCTCTTTAGTGTATTGAAAAGAAAGGATGTTACTTGCAGGACTATGCACCTGACCCAAGCCATGGTATTTCGCAACTGCCTCATATGCATGTGTAAGTTGGACACTGAATAAGGAAAACCAAAGGAGACTCAACGCATTTGAATTGTGGTGCTAGGGCAGAATATTGAAAGTACCATGGACTGCTAAAAGGATCCAGAGATCTGTCTTGGAAGAAGTATAGCCAGAATGTTCTTTAGAGGGAAGGATGACCAGGCTTTGTCTTACACATTTTGGACATACTGTTAGGAGAGACTAGCCCCTGGAGAAGGATGCTGTGCTTGGTAAAAATGAAAAAGAAGGTCTTCGACAAGAAGGACTGACATATGGCTGCAACAATGGGCTCATGCATAGGAACAATTGTGAGGATGGCACAGGTCCCAGCAGGGTTTTCATCTGCTGTGCATAGGCTGCTATAGGTCGGAACAGACTTGATGACAACTGACAACATAGTTATAAAATTTCACCTAGCAGCACACTTAATATTTGAACACTTTATGGTATGTGATTGGAAATGCCCACTAATCATGTAGAGTGAGCCATCAATATAACTTTATATATCACTTTGTAAAGGAGAAAAACAAATTAGCTGATGGTCATGGCTTAAGGATTGCCATTTACTTTCTGCTAAATAAACTATATCTAAAACTGCTACTAAAAAGTATAGTTCTTGGGTGGTGTAAACAATTAAAGATCTGTTAACTGAAAGGTCGGTGGTCTGAGTCTACCTAGAAGTGTCTGGAAAGGAAAGGTGTGGTGATCTACTTTTGAAAGATCATCCATTTAAAGACCCTACACTGACACACGGAAGATCACCAGGGGTTGGAGCTGAAGCTATGGTAGCTGGTTATCAGTAAAGATAAAGGAAAGCTGACAGGTCCACTCTTATACCAGAAATGGTGGCTGGAAAAGCACAGTTTATCAATTTTAACTGTAACTCCCTGAACAAGTAGAAGATCAGAAAATAGTCAAATCAGTTATGCTATGATTATTTGATTTGGGATTATTAATGCCTTTTATCTCTGCTTCTTTCTGTTTCGGTTTTGCCAGTGTCTTGTTTGGGTTGCAAAAAATGGGAAAAGAAAAAAAGTTAGCTTTGTTACTTATTTTCAACTGTTGTTCTTAGGGTGCTAAAAAACTAAAGTTATGCCTGTGTAATTTTACATTTATGAATTCGGTTTCCTGTCTGTTAAGGACGAAGAGTTGGCTTGCACAAGAAATATACTGGAAAAAAAAAGAAATATACTGAATCTGTATCAATTTGTTTTCACTTCTGCTCGGATTGTTCTCCTCACCTCTACAACCCTTGAAAGGATTAGCTGCAAACACCAATGCTCTTTGATAATAGTATTATTAAGCAGATGATGTCACCTTGTTTCTTCCCTTCCCTGAGCTTTTTTTCAGAAGGCGGGGAGTCCTTTGTGAGTGCGCGTGTGTGGCAATTCTTAAAATGCCAAAACAAAAATCAAACCCAGCGCTGTCGAGTAGAATCCAATCCATAGTAACCCTGGAAGGCAGGGTTTTCAAAGGCTGTAAATCTTTCTGGAAGCGGACTGCCACTTCTTTCTCCAGCCGAACAGCTGACTCGAACCGCAGACCTCTTTGGAGCGCTTAACCAGTGCTTAAATATCACGAGCTGACACATGACTGACAACCTTATGCGCCTCCCCCCCTCCCACCTCCCCACGACAGTTTGAAATGGGGTAAATACTTAAGCGCTGCAGAACAATAAAACCCAATCAGCAATTCCTATAAAAGAGATAGGGGGTGTGATTAGGTGCCCGCGATGAAAGAAGTTACTGCAAAAATCCTCAAAAATAACTGCTTGGTGGTTTCCTTCTGCACTGGGCACACAGGTTATGCGAGTATTTTCTCTATTCACTGGCTCCCCGAGAGCCCAGGCACTCAAAGGTAGGACACATCCTCGAAGCGCGAGGCAACTGGGACAAAAACCCGGGGCTTTCACGAGGTCCTTCCACTGACCCTCGCTAGCGTGGGCTATTGATCATGAACCCTGTTGGAGAAGTATTGAACGGCATTTGCGTGAGGCTTATCGAGCCACAGGGAAAGAAGATGCGGGAGGGAATAGCAGCTTCTAATAAAAGAAACGCAGCAACAATAGCAGAGGAGCAGCTCTGCCTGGTGACGTAATGGCTGGCAGCAGTCCAGCTTCAGCAGGGCTCCTGCTCCCTCAGCATCCCAGCTCTCGGCACAGCCACCCGGCTGCCGCTCCGGGCCACGCCACTTTGTTGCGGCCGCCAGCGCCTTACCTTCGCGGGGCCCGAACACCGAACAAAGGGTGCCTTGGCTGTTTGAAGTTGTCAGAGCACAAACACTCTTCCCTCGCCGCCCGCCTGCGCCCCCCCCGCCCCCCAGTCCCTTCAGTCACCAAGTCAATCCCGCTGCTTAAGTTTAAGGCGAACACAGGGGGTGCCCAAACAAGCGAGCCTCAGTTTCCCCAGGCTGCTCCCGAGCCCGCCCGCTGCTCCCGAACCCCCCCACCCCGCCGGCGCCGGTCCTGCTGCCTTACCTCCGCCAGGTAGAGGTTGAGGAGACAGAGAGTGGAGAACTGGAGACAGGAGGGGAAGCAGTAGAGCAGCCAGTGCGGGAAGAAGTGCAGGTGAGCGGGCGGCCGGAGCAGGGGCAGGGAGCCGCTGAGCGAGAAGGCGGCGGAGAAGAGGGTGGTCCTGAGCGCTGCCCACAGCAGACAGAGGAAGAGGCAGAGGCTCTGGTAACTCAGCCGCCGCTCGCGGTACAGGAGCAGCCGCCACAGCTGCAGGTAGGCAAAGGCGAAGAGCGCGGCGTAGAGCAGGGCGTGCAGGACGCTCAGCGCCAACTGCACGGAGCCGGGCACCGCGGCGCCCGAGGCGGCAGCGACGGCGCCTCCGCCGGGCGTCGAGGGCTCGCGGCCGGCCGCGGGGGCGGCGGCCGAGGGACCCGGCACCGGCACCCTCATGAGAGGACCGTGGGCGGCGAGAGAGCGCGGGAGGAAAGGGGTCGGACGGAGTCGCCGTCGAGGCGGAGGTTTTTTTATTTTCTCTCCCCCCGGACCCCCCCCACCCGCCCCAGTCTCCAACCCCGGGAACAGCCGTGACAGGACTCGGAGGCCCGCGCAGAGCTGCCGCGGCTCCCCCGACCCCGCCTCCTGTCCCCCGCCCCCCGGGGGGCTCGGCTCCTCCTGCTGCGGCTAGACCCGGTAGCTGCAAAAAACAACTCTCGGCTGGAGACAATCAGCTGAGAAACCCGAGCATTTGAGGCGCTCGCTCCGCACAGTGGGCTCGCGCGGATTGGCCCGGGCGGGCACGCCCCCTGAGCGCCGCACTCGGACGCCCACAGGCCACAGGGCACGTCGCTCGCGAGAGCTACGAGCTGATTGGCTCTTCGCTTTCTCTGCTTTCTTCCTCCGCTTCACTCCCCACCCACGCTGCTGATTGGCCCGGCAACTGCACGGCCCGCTCGCGCCCGCGGGAGGATTCTGTCGTCGACTGTCACTAGGGGAGCCTTCTGCTCCTCCCTTTGCGCTTATCATTGGTTGCTGAGCGTCCCGTTCGCGTAGAGAGCACGAGGAGAGGGAGGAGCCTGGAGGTTGTTTTTGCACCGGAGGCTGACTGGTTTCAGAGCGTGGCTGTCGCCCGGCAGGTAGGTGAAGCCCTTTCCCTCTGTCGGGCGCGCTGGGCCTAGGAAAGCCCTGCGGAGCCGAGCTCCATCCTGCCTTCTCTCTCCCGCGTGGCGGCAGCTGTGGGCAGCGAGGACCGCCCAGGTCCTTGCCTGCCGGTCTCGGGCAGGTAGGTGGCTGCGCGGGTCCGGCAGGCGCGGGCTGGATGCCTGCCGGCACGCGGAGTCAGGACTGGCTGCTTTCCTCCGCCACGGTCCCGCCGCTGGATTTGCACACCCGCCTCTGGATCCGCTGGAGAAGCATTTTGCTTCTTTCCTTTCTGCCTCCCCACCCTAGCATGAGCGGCTGGGGTAAAGCCTCCAGGGTAAATGATGCCGTGATTCCCATGACTCTGTCCCAGACCTGAGCCCTACAGTGAGGCGGGGGGGGGTGAACTGACCCTCCAAACGAAAAACGTTTCCTTCCTCCAGAAATACCCCTCTAGGAAGACTAGTGTTAGGATGAAATGGATGTTCAAGCGAGCTGTGAAGAGGGGGTAGGCGATGCTTTGAAATTTAGGATTTGGAAAGATGCTCATGACATACAGAGGGGGAAAGGGCAGAAGCAGAACTGCCTCAATGTCAAGAGAGGAAGTCGAATAATTTCCTTATTACTCTTTGAAGCCTTAGTCCCGAATGTGCTGATTGGTGGCGCTATTTCTGGGGTTGAGAGAAATAAAAAATAAATGCTATGTTATTACTGTAAAGAAAAAAGTGAGGATTAATAAGTTTCCCAATGAATATTGGCTGACACAAAGCATTGGTTGACTTCCTTTCTTTTTTTTGGATAATAAAATGAGCTGAAGTAGTGCAATAGAAGAGGAAGTCTGTGTTCTTAGAAAGGATTCTGTATCCCTGTGAAAGACCCTATTACATTTACCTGTGAAACCAGGACCCATCGTTTTCTAACCCTCCATCCTTTGTACTAGTGCTTTGACCTAGTATCGCCATTCAATCTGTTCATATCTATTAAATGCCTCACAGGGAATTTTAGTTTGTTTTTGTACTCTAGAATCTAGGACAGTAGTTGACAGAGGCACCTCACACTGGTGTGTTTTGGATTCTTCATGAAGGCATGTTGACAAATTGATCAGTATCTAGAACTGGACCTGCTCTGGGGCTCTCTGTCAGATGAAATGTTAAGCTGAGCAGGTTGTACAGTGCAGTCCAGAGTAGGGTACAACTTGTTGGGTATAGGTAAGACGTTAACAGATCCGTAGCTTGTTACTTCCTGAATAAACCATTTAGTCCTGGAGAAAATGAGTTAGCAGGCTGAATCCTGGGTGGCACACATGGTTACTGTGCTGAGGTAAGATCAAAGACAGGCCTTGTGATCCGTTTTTGATAGGTTACAGCCTTGAAAACCCTACCACACATGGGGTGGTCATGAATCAGAGCTGACCGTCATCAAGAGCCACGATCCAACATCAGTGATTTAGAGAAGGGTCCCACCCACACTGCAGCGTAAAGAGCCTCACTTCATTGACTGTTAGAGAATGTGATGAAGGGAGTGCATGATTCTTTTCAAATGGGGGTAGAGATCATGATTACAGTTGAGGTCATTAATTACAGATGGGTGCTTAAGCATATTAATTAAGCTTAATAAAAATCAGTTCTATGATTTCAGACACTTGCCAAAATTGGCTCACTCACATTCTCTGACTTTATTCTTCCCTTCCAACTTTTTGTCAGTTGGGTGAAGTTTCAAAGATCAGAACTTCAGTTTCACACTCAGCAGTTCAAATGCATTATTATTGAGTTCATCACATCCCACTGCCTCACAGTGTCACTCAGTTTCCCTTCCTCGTCCTTTCTTAACCCTCTGGACCTTGTCCTTGGATAAATGCTCTAATACAGCCCGAGTTTAGTTTCAGATGGCGCGAGACTGAGGCCACAGTCTTGGGTGTTCACCAGGCAACTTCTTTTTTTTGCATCTTGCAAAATCAAAATGGTGAAGGCTTTTGGTCAAGAAATATATTACTTTACCAAGAAATATATTTCTCCTGTGTTTTTTACTCAGAAATTATAAGTACTATCTGCATAGTACCTACACTAGGGTTTTGCTTGTGAGAATTAAAAAAAAATCTTTTTAAGCATTTGAGCAAATCTAGAGCACCTTCTCCTTGCTCTTCCATGATGCAGACAGAGGGTTCTGATTCTCTTATTGCTTTCCTTGGGCCCTAAATGCTAAGCTGTGTCGAGATCTAATCATTTTATTTGTGGCTGGTTCAGTGAGCAGAGCTCTCACCGTTGCTCAGTAGCTGCATTAAACTGTAAGTAAGCTAATTTTTGACAGAATGTTCTTACCCGAATTTTGTAAGCATTTTATGCCCCATTTGCTGCAGAATAACAAAATGTTCCTTTTCCCAGAGAATAGTACTCATAGATCTTAGTATAATTTGTTTAATGGTTACAGTTGTTAATTTCTTCTTTTTCCTGAGAGGAAAAGCCATTAATTTTATGGTTAGTCATAAGGGAACTTTAGACCTATAGAGGGAGAACTAGGCAAGGGTCTCTATCATGGATTGAATTGTGTGGCGCCTCCTGCCCCCCAAATAAGTGCCAATACTGATTCCCAGTGGTTTGGCAGTTATGTAACGATGTGATTTGGCATTTATGCAATGAAATAATCATCTTCCATGATTTGAATGCTGAGTCATTTGGGGGTTAAAGTGGGATGTAACACCCACACAGGTCACAGCCCTCATCCAATGCAGAGGCGGAAGGACCTGACTAACATTAAGGAAGAAGAGACAGGAGTGGAGCGTGCCTTTTGGTCCTGGGTTCCTGGGTTGAGAACTTCCTAGACTCACGAGAGACTGATGCTAAGAAACGTGGTGAATACAAATGATAGCCAGACCCACAGATACTGAACAGTATCAAGTACCTTCCTAAGAGCCGACAGAGAAAGCCTTCTGGTAGACCTGGTGCCCTGAATTTGGACTTCTGGCCTTCTAAGCTGTAAGAGTAAATTTCTGTTCGTTAAAGCCATCACTATGGTATTCTGTCATAGCAGCACTAGATAACTTAAGATAGTCTCCATTTGCTGCCCCAAATGAGCATGTCCACGTGCAGTGTTTGAATACTGTTAGCCTAGAGGGACAGATTGATTACCTCTAACACATTAGTCTTTTAAACATTTAAAAAGGAACTGTTTTCCAAGTGTTACTGTATATAGGACCTAATTCCAAAATGGGATTTATATATTCACAAGGCAGAACTTAAAGAACATTTAAAAGAAATATGACTTGAGTTGCTTGAAGATGCCCAAACTGTTTTGACATGGTTTAAATCGAAGAGGGTGGAATTCTTGCAGAAAGAATCAGAGAGTTGGAAACACCATCTTCAGATGTGTATAAACCTAGATGGATCATACCTTGGGAAACAATAGGTTCATATTTTGATATATTTTGTTCAATAAATTTCTTTGATTTTTTTTTTTTTAAGGAGCCTTGGTGGCATATTGGGCTATGCAATAAACTGCTAACCACAGGTCAGCAGGTCAAACCCAGCAGTCACTCTGCAGGAGAAAGCTGAGGCTGTCTGTTCCTGTAAAGATTTGAAATCTGGGAAACCCAAAGGGGCAGTTCTACCCTGTCCTGTAGGGTTGCTATGAGTTGGAATTGACTTGATAGCAGTGAACATTTTTGAACTGTAATTTTGTAGCAATACTTCTATCGCACTCTCATACCTTGACTATTAAAAGCATGGTAGCTTGAGTGCACCCAGTGGCTCCACAGCAGAAAGAGTTAATTGAGGATCTCCCATAATGCTTGCGGGCTGGAAAACCCTCTGAGAGGGTCCTGCTCTGTCACATGGGCACTGTGAATGTAAATTGGATCCATGGGCACCAATGAACCACCACAGAACTACTTACCAGTGTAACAAGTAACAAGGTCATTTTTCTCCCAAGGTATCCATAGCTTGGTTTTGATATTTAGATTTTTTTCAAACATGAAGAAAACGTTTTTTGTTTATTTTTGCAATGGTACTTGGTTTGTTT